TGTTTTTAAGTTATGTGTTTGTTTTTGTTGATGTGCTTATGTGTTTAAAATAAAAAATTATAAATATTTAAAAAAAAAAGATTGCATCCTGCAACTTCATCCTGGGAGACGAATATTCATCTTTATTTGTTTTTTATCTTTATTTCACAAAACGGCAATGAATGAAAGTTTTTGTGTTTCCTATAGGCAGTCCTCGAGTTATGACTACAACTCATTTCTGGAGAAAAGTGGGACATCGCATGATCCCTTTCTTCAAGAACTGCAATTCTGCCCTTGATTTTGTGGTTGTTATTAGCAATAGCACTTTGATTTAGATACATAGTGCTTTGCAGCCCTCTCTGAGCAGTTTACAAATGTCAGCATCTGGCCCTCAGCGATTTTGTTATTTTCTGTCTTTCTCGAAAGGAAATAATGTTCTCATCTTCTTTTTTCCACGGACAGGAAAACAAGTGTGATCAAAGATTTACCTGAAAGGCAACTATCAACAGATAGTAGAAATTCAGCCCAAGGCATCAGCCACCAGAAAACATGGAGGGTGGGAATCTTTTGGATCCCCCATCAGACACAAGAAGCCCTCCAAGGGCAAAAAACTCCAAAGATCTCAGGAGCCCCCCAAGACTAAAACCCTATAAATGTGAGGAATGTGACTTGTGCTTTGGACGAAAGTCACGCCTTCTTACACATCAGAAAATCCACACTGGAGAAAAACCTTATCAATGTCTGGATTGTGGGATTTTTTTCCGTGAAAAAGCCACTCTGAGAAACCACGAGATGATCCACACAGGGGAGAAACCTTACAAGTGTTGGGAATGTGGGAAGAGATTTTCTCAGAACTCAGGTCTTTGGATCCATGAGAAGATCCATGCAGGAATAAAATCTTACAGATGCTTTGAGTGTGGAAATTGTTTCACCAACAGTTCAACTCTTCGGAGTCATTGGAAAACACACACAGGTGAGAAAAAAGAAAAGTGTCTTGAATGTGGGAAATGTTTTACCCAGAGTTCATCTCTTCGGAGACATATAAAAATACACCGAGGGGAGAAAAACGAAAAATGCCTCGAATGTGGGAAAAGTTTTACCTTGAAATCAACCCTGTTGCAACATCAGAGACGTCACACTGGAGAGAGACCCTATGAATGCCCAGAATGTGAGAAACGATTTGTGTATTCTCTTGAACTTCAGACACACCAGAAGAGGCATAAAGGGGACCTTCCCCATAGATGTGGGGAGTGTGGGAAAAGCTTTATTTCACCAGCCCAAGTTCAGATTCACCAGCGAATCCACACTGGGGAGAAACCCTTCAAATGTGGGGAGTGTGGGAAATGCTTTTCTCAAAAACAACACCTTGGACGCCATCAGCAGTTCCACGCAGGAGAGAAGCCATACAGATGCGTAGAATGTGGGAAATGCTTTGTAGACAAGCGAGGCCTTTTGGGTCATCATAAAACCCACACAGGGGAGAAGCCACATCAATGCAACGACTGTGGAAGATTTTATAGNCCCATGAATGCTCAGAGTGTGGGGAATCCTTTGCTCGCAGGTCCTTCCTTTTGACACACAGGAAGGTCCATGTGGAAAGTGGATCCAGTCAAGGATTGGAGGGTGAAAAATCCTTCTCTGGAAGAGACATCAAAGAGAGAATCCACACAGGGGAGAAACCTTACAAATGCTCAGAGTGTGATAAAAGTTTTTCACAGAAAAATTCTCTTGTGATGCATCAAGAAATCCACACTGGAGAGAAACCTTATCAATGCCTGGAATGTGGGAAATGTTTCCGTAGAAAAGACGTTCTCAGAATCCACGAGATAATCCACACAGGGGAGAAGCCTTACAAGTGTTGGGAATGTGGGAAGAGCTTTTCTCAGAAGTCAACTCTTTCGTCCCATGAGAAGACCCATGCAGGAATAAAGTCTTACAAATGCTCTGAGTGTGGAAAATTTTTCACCCAGAGTTCAGGTCTTCGGAATCATGTGAGAACACACAGAGGGGAGAAAAACGAAAAGTGCCTCGAATGTGGAAAATGTTTTACCTGGAAATCAAGCCTGGTGCGACACCAGAGACGTCACACTGGAGAGAGACCCTATAAATGCCCAAAATGTGAGAAAACATTTGTGGATCCTTCTGAACTTCGGAGGCACCAGAAGGGGCACAAGGAGGAGAAACCCTTTGAATGTGGGGAATGTGGGAAAGGTTTTGTTACACAAACAGTGCTTCAGGTTCATCAGAGAATCCACACTGGGGAGACCCACAGGAAGGCCCATGTGGGAAGTGGATCAAGTCAAGGATTGGAGGATGAGAAATCTTGCACTGGGAAAAACTCCAAAGATCTCAGGAGTCGCCCAACACTAAAACCCTATAAATGTGAGGAATGTGACTTATGCTTTGGTCAGATGTCAAACCTTCTTAAACATCAGAAAACCCACAGTGCAGACAAACCTTATCAATGTCTCGAATGTGGGAAAATTTTCCGTGGAAAAGCCCAACTCAGAATCCACCAGGGAATCCACACAGCAGAGAAAACTTACAAGTGTTGGGAATGTGGGAAGAGTTTTTCTCAGAACGCAGGTCTTTGGTCCCATAAGAAGACTCATGGGAAAAAGTCTTACAAATGCTTTGAGTGTGGAAAATGTTTCAACCAGAGTGCAGGTCTTCGGAGTCATGTGAAAATACACAGAGGGGAGAAAAATGAAAAGTGCCTCGAATGTGGGAAATGTTTTACCCTGAAAGGAAACCTGGTGCGACATCAGAGAATTCACACTGGAGAGAAACCCTTTGAATGCCCAGAATGTGGGAAACGATTTATGCTTTCTGCTAACCTTAAGAGACACCAGATGAGTCACAAAGGAGAGAAACCCTATGAATGTGAGGAGTGTGGGAAATGTTTTGTTACACGTACTGAGGTCCAGAGTCATGAGAGAATCCACACAGGGGAGAAGCCGTACAAGTGTGAGGAGTGTGGGAAATACTTCTCCCATAAATCAAACCTTGGAAAGCATCAGAGAGTCCACACGGGAGAGAAGCCATACAGCTGCCTAGAATGTGGAAAAACTTTTGCTTATACGACAGTGCTATGGAGACATCATGAAACCCACACTAGGGAGAAGCCACATCAATGCAATGAATGTGGACAACTTTATAGTAGCCAAGAAACCCTTAGAGCACACATAAAAATTCACACGGGGATAAAAAACTACAAATGTTTAGACTGTGGGAAATCGTTTGGTCAGTCATCTACCCTTAGACGTCACAGCCGAATCCATACAGGAGAGAAGCCCCATAAATGCTCAGAGTGCGATAAATGTTTTTCTGCAAAAAGTGGCCTTGTGAGGCATCAGCGAATCCACACTGGAGAGAAACCATATAAATGCCTGGAGTGTGGGAAATGTTTTGCCCAAACTTCAGCGCTTCGAATACACACCCGAAATCACACAAGAGAGCAGCCTCACAAGGGTGCAGAGAGTGAGAAACCTCTTCGTTGCAAATCAAAGTTCAAAACGCATCAGAAAGCGCGTACTAGATGTAAACCTATTTAGCGGTGAACAACGTTGGACTTTTTTTTTTAAAAAAAAAAAGGTCACATCTTACAATTCACCTGGAACTTTGGACAGTGACAGAAGGGAAATCCTACCAATGTTTGGCCTGGGGAAAATGTTTTTGCTAGTGTAGCAATCTCAAATTCTCTGAGAAGTACACAAATAGGGAAAAGGCCGTAAATTTTGGGAATGTGAGGATGTTTTGCTCATAAAAAGCAGCATTAGTGACTTAGCAGAGTCATTACACAAAAGGATTATAAGTATGTAGGGGAGTATATCATAATGTTTTGCAGTGAACTGGTAACCCAAGGTTGCAGATTTTGGATGAACTTTAGGGAAAATGTCCTGGGGATTTGGATGGACCCCTGCCGTTAAGGCAGATCATTGGTAGCTATTTATATGTGCCTGGCACACTTGTGATTCTCAACTCACAGTGGGAGGATAAGCTCCACGCACTGACCCAACAGGGGCTCTCTGGCCAATGTGATGTGGGGACCTTGGTGTCCTCTCAGCTTCTTTGTTTCTATGCAGATGTTTCATCACCCAATTAAATAACATTATCAATGCTGGATGACATCATTAACATTGATGCTTTTACCTAGCTGGGTATTGAAACATCTGCAAGCAAACCAAGCTCAGAGAGCATCAGAGAGTCTGCAGTTCAAATCCGAGCTACCAATAATCTATTCTGGAGCTGTGGTCCCTTGGATCCTAAATCCTTGTCCAGCATCTTTGGCATGATTCCTATAGAGAACAACATGTCAGCGCAATGAGTAATGGCGCCCATGGAAAGGAGAACTCCAAGGCAGGTAGATTCCTCAAAGGACATGTTTATTGGATATATCATATTGGCACAGCCGGTGAAAACCAACTCTAAAAGTTCCTGCGGAATTCACCTAATTAAAAAGTGAAAGTTATCCCTCCCAGATGTCACCGGTCCCATTGTCCAGTAAAAGTGTTGGCAGGTTGTTTGGTTGCTCCTCCCTGCCACAGCCACCTGTTCATCTGACCTTGGTTCCCACAAGAAAGCTTTTTTTTTTTTGTAACTCAGCTTGTTCAGTTGAGCATTCAGTACCATCATTCCAGATGTTCTTGTAACTAAACTAAATCAGCTAGCGGTAGCTGTTCACACTTGTAAATGGGTCATAAGCTTCCTAACAGACAGAAAGCAACAGGCGAAACTAAGCAAAATCACATCAGATACCAGACCCAAGGTGGCGCAGTGGTTAAATGCAGCACTGCAGGCTACTGCTAGATCAGCAGGTCAGCGGTTCAAATCTCACCGGCTCAGGGTTGACTCAGCCTTCCATCCTTCCGAGGTGGGTAA